TGTGTTTGGTGTGGATGCGCGCACCAGTCACTCTTCGTCGTCGCTTTCGCTGCTACCTGCATGTTCCTGGCTTGGTACGAATAGTATTGTTAACGCAGACTCACTCGTTCTTTTGTTGTTCGTGAAAAGTCGTGGACGAATCTTCGATACCATGATGCCACTCCCAGGAATCTTCTGAGCTCTCGTAGATTTGTTGAGCTCTCTTATGATCGCTACTTTATCCGGGTCCATATGGATGCCCTTCTTACTGACTACGCGGCCTAAATACTTCAGCTCTTTCTTAAAAAGCTCGCACTTCTCGGGGTTGATACGGAGGTTGGCTTTTCTTAGCCTCTGGAATACTTCTGCTGGCTTCACATGTTCTTCTAACGTTGTACTAGTGACTATGATGTCGTCTAGGTAGGCAAATGCGTTCGGCTCTAGTACTGGGACGATAACTCTATTAAGTGCCCTCTGGAACGTCGCTGGTGTGGAGTGTAGGCCGAAAGGCATCACCTTCCATTGGAACAAGCCACGTCCAGGTACTGTGAATGCCGTGTACTGTTTGCTGTCCTCCTCCATGGAGATCTGCCAATAACCATTTTTCAAGTCCAAACTGCTTCTGAGCCGATCGAGTATATGCTGGATACGTGGCAACGGGTAAACGTCCGGAACGGAGTCTCCACTTTCCGATTTTCTTCTTTGCCAATACTATTTTGGTGCACTGTGCGGACTATGGGATGGTTCGATGTAGCTCTTCTCAAGTAGTTTGCCGATTTCTTTGTTGATGACTTCTTGCATCTTGTGGACCCCACCCCTCGATACTGATGAGGCCCCTGGTCGTTTCCCTGTAGATTGGGGCAGCAATTTCGGGTGCGTATTCCACAAGGTCTCCACGCAATCGCTGGTAGTGCTCTGACCCGTTTGCTCAATCTGGTCTTGTAGCGCCCTCAAACCTCCATGGTTGCTCTCGTTCATAGGGGACTGGTACCGCTCTTCAGGTCGTCGAGGTACAAATGGTCGTGCTGTGGCTCTTAATGGGGGAAGATTCTCAAAATCTTCTACCAAGTCCACTAATTCTTCCAGACTCTTGAATTCACTTCGTTTGATGTATAGTTGATATTCTCAACGAGAATTTCAGTATATGCGGCTCAGCTTTGCTTCGGCCGTGTAGTTCGCGTGACGCATAAGTCCTTGTAGCACGAGGGCGTAATCTTTAAAACGCTCGACCGGTCGCTGGACGTGTCGTCGTATCTCGTCATCCAGTTGCTCGAAGTACCGCAAGCTAAGGAAGAACTTCAGGAAGTCCTATTCCTGTCAGTGTCGACTGTTGTTCCTGAACCATATGAGAGCCTTGTACTTCAGTAGCTTTGGTAGCGCTCGTGGGATTGAATTACCGGTAATATCGTACCCGTCCGCTAATTCTTCTACCCGCTCGATAAATCCCAAGGGATCTTTACCGCCGTCGCAGCGCAATCCCCATTACCGCACTCTGTCCATAATCGTAGCATATGATGGCGTCGCTGGTACGTACACTTGTTCTTCTTCGCGTAGCATGCCACGTGCTCCCTCGTTAAACGTTTCTGATGGTGGAACGCCTTCTATTGGTGTCGCCGGATTTAACGTGATAGTTGGCCGAGTATGTCGGAGGACCATCTCCGTTAAGCGTCTTTGTACGCCTTCTCCTTCGTTTTGACTCTGGATGAAGCTCACAAGGCGTTCGCGCAGCCCCTCCACTGTTCCATGGTCTTCGAACCCAAATTCTTCTGCATACCTCAGTAGTTCCTCTCGATTGAGATAGTACACCCATGTCACCTTGACCACGGCTACCTCGTTATCTCGGCTGATGTCTTTCTTTTTTACCTTAGAGTTCTCTTTTTACTTTAGAGTTCCTGTCCGAGCGCCAGTTGTAACGGACTTTTCCACTTGGCTAGTATAAGCTCAGCCTTGCCAAGGTTATCCTAAAATAACAACACGCTATTTTCGTTACAACAAATTTATTACATTATAAACAATATAATTTACATAATAATTATCTCTACGACATTTATTACTTCTCGTATGGGCTGTGGAGGGGAAAACCCTCCACTAGTTCCTTTCCCAGTGAGATGAGAACCATCAGTGGAGTATAAGTAAGTGTTCGTGAGGTGAAAACCCCCAGGGACACTACGTTTGCCGGTGGTGTTGATCCCACCAGGCTGCTTCATTTCCTTTGCATTTTCCTCGCCTTTTATACTATTATGCACGCAGGTAGAATGTTTATTTATAATAACAATTTATTGATGCGTACAGTTTTCCACTTATTCTATGTGTACTTATATATGTGCATACAAATAAATTCATTTTCGAACATGCTCTTAGGCCTCAGCGTATGCATATAACGTATTTCTATGTTTTAATTTTTATATTTGAAGTAAGTAAGTTTTTTTTTTATATAATATTAAGTAAAATATGAATATATATATATATATATACTATAATTTCAATTATTTCAAAATAATATTAAGAAAATATATGTATATATAAAATATATATTTAAAATTTCAATGATTTCATTCAAATTCAAATGTATTTTTAGATAAGTTTATGTGTGTTGTGAGTTCTCCAAAAGCCTCGGATTTTGGGGTCTTTACAATATAAATAAATACGAAAAACATAAATTTATAAATACTGTAATATAAGTATGCTATATAAATATAATGAGAAATAATAACACAACAGACATACCAGCTCTATATATACATATGTACATAAATTAAAAAGTGAGAGAGATAAGAAAATAAAATAAAAACATGGAAAATTTATAAAAACTTACCCCTATAAAAACATACACACTTACTCAAAAGCTGAAAAAATTACTTACCCAGAAAAGGACAAATGTACATACAAACTAGCACACAGTGTAGTTACAAACTACTTACCTAACATTATATAAGTTGCCAAATATCTCCCTTCCGCTTTTTTGCTCTTCATTCAATGCTTTATAAAAAGTGTTACAGTGATCGGATTTAGTGAAAATATGCGCCGTTTTGTTCGATGATCTGTTTCCATCTAGACGGCAACTTCATAATGCCTTCCTCGTAGAAGCGCCCCTCCATATTTGTGAAGAATTCGAACAGCCACTTTTCACAAGCCTCTTTTGAGTTCAACTTCACACCACCAAGGTCATTCGCCATGGACAGGAACAGGTGGTAATTACTTGACGCTACGTCCGGGCTATATGGCGGATGCGATAAAACCTCCCATCCGAGCTCCCGTAGCTTCTGACGAGTCATCAACGAAATGTGTGGTCTGGCGTTGTCCTGGTGGAACACTACACCCTTCCTGTTGGCCAATTCTGGACGCTTCTGGTCGATCGCCTGCTTTAAGCGGTCCAGTTGTTCGCAGTAGATGGTAGAATTAAGCGTCTGGCCATATGGGAGCAGCTCATAGTGGATGATTCCCTTCCAATCCNTGAGTTCCATTAAAACTGTCAACCCTTTCCTATAATGGACGCCACCCCACCCTATAATTGTCAATTTTTTTGCCTATTTGTTAGGTTTTAAGCAAAAGCAGCAAGTACGATGCGATTTAAAATACAAGAATTTTCAACATTGCTCGCTAAGATAAAATCATGTTAGAGCTCCAGTGCAATTATCCCGCTGTCAGACAATCCCCAATCAGTTGAACCTATAACATAAGGTCATTTTCTGATTGTAGGGTCGCTACTCGGTATGGTAGTCACTAAGACGCTAGAATGTACACTGGACACCAGATGATCTAAGGTGCCCGACTCCTTTTTTTTAGAGGAACAGGACGGTGTTTATTGTTTTAGGTGCCGCTATCTACGCACCGATCCTGAGGCCAGGATTAATGCCTGCTGGCCAATTAGGCTAGGCGCACAGAATGGAATATTTGGATTAGTGATATCCGAAAGTAAGCCCAATTAAGCATTTGCAAAAAAACAGCTTTTTTGGTAAGCAAAATGAATTTTTATTTTATTCTTATAATGAATCGTTACTGATGAATTTTCATTCATTATAGTCATTAAAAAAAAAATTTATATTTCTGTTTAAGTACTTTATTGCAAGGTGGGTGTGCAACCTTGCGCAGACATGCGAGCTACTAAGAGATGTCGCTACGGAAATTTGTGTTGAGTATTTTTTAAATAAAATAAAAGTTCATCGCGAAACTCCATCAGCCTTTTGAAGGCCGCTTGTAATAAAGAGTTGGTTCTATGTGGGAAAAAATTACAAAGCGCAAATTATATATATACACTAGGTGTACTCTGCAACGCTTCGTTGTCGCACATACTCATTGAATGTTTGAAAAATTAATAATAGAATATCTTTTTATCATGACTTTATTTACTCAATTCGTACTCCCCAAGAATGTTTAATTTTACCATTGACATTGGTCCACTTTCCGGAGAGAGGACATTTTGAACAGGCAAATCCCCGGCCCACTTCTCGGAGAGAAAAGCTACCTATGTACTGAATTTCAAGTTAGCCGAACCATAAATAAGATTTTTTCGCTGATCCACTTCCTGGAGAGAAGTGTAGTCTTCCTGTCAATTTAGCAAAAAGCCGCCTATATGTCGAATTTCAAGTAAATCTTTGAATAAGTCCGCCCCTAGTTCTCTTCCCAAGAGGAGAATAAGTCAGTCCCTATTCCACTTTCCGAAAAAGGAGTCTTCCTGTTAATCTTAGCAAAAATACACCTATATACCGAGTTTCAAGTAATTCGATCCATAAATGCACCAAATTTTTGGTTTTACCATTGACGTTGGTGCACTTCCCGGAGTATATGCAGCAGTAATTGTTTGTATTGATTTGAGGTGAAGAACATTTTGTGTTAGCCATTGTTCATGCTTTTGTTATTTCATAACTGCTGCTGTTGCTGATATTCGCGTTATTGTGATGTAAGCGTCTATTATAATCGACTTACTTCTTGCGCAGTTGTTTTTTGGTGCCATATTTGTATTTGTTCTTACATTTCTTTTTTTCTTTTCTTACAATATTTTAAGGATACGGTCTCCGGGCTTGTTGGCTCTTTGTTTATATTATATGTAGGGATGAGCATTTTACAGCCTGCCTCTTTATGGAATGGCTGTTATGATTGTAAAACTGCGTCTGGTATGTGTAGATTAAGGGTTACGTATACGCAACGGTTACTACTTTCAAAACAATATTGCAGCAGTGCTAGCTAGCAATATTGTGTTCTGCTGTGTTGTTAACTTGTGTAGTAAATGGTTGACCGCTTGATTGTTAACAACAACATTTACCAGTAAAAATCCCGAAATGAACGAAGAACAAAAATTTGCATTATGCTAAATGGACTAATAAACCAAGTGCAGTTTTCATAGTTCAATTGTTGGCGGCAATTATAGAAAAATATATATGTATATATTCATACATATTCACAAGAAAACTAATTATCCAAATCAAATTGCATACGTGAAATAGTTAAATATACATGATTGTTAAAACGAATTTCAAATTGATTTCAACTCGTCCTGTTTAAATTGTTTCAGTGTTTTAAATAAAAAGTAGTACTGCTCATCTTACAAAAAGTTTTGGATAAGGTGCTGCAGAAATTTTCAAAAAAATTATTAAGTTCAACACGAGTGTCCGTTGATAAAAACGAAAAATCTATGTGAGTGCGATTGTTCATACATATATACATGTATATGCATACTTACGTTAAATATAAATTCTTATTTGCTTTCAAAACAATTAATAATAAATAAGTGTAGAGTGGGTTTTCATATACTTCCATATTGATTTAGAGTGAAAACTGTGAAAACTTCACAGGCGCATGCCTGATTGTTGGTATCTATTGACTTATCAAATAATACACACCTGATTCTCTAAGCGATGCATTATAACTTGTACACATACATATTTATATTTGAATGTCCAACCATTTTATTTTATGTTTCATTTAATTGTACATTTTTAGTACAACAAAAACACGCTTAAGTAGATTTTTGTTTTACTTTGATATACACAATTTTATTGTATTGTGTTATTAATTTTCTTAAGCAAGAAAATTTATATAGCATAAAAGTACATATCTGAGCATGCAGTCGGAAGGGAACTATTCCATAATTATCTGAACTCGTTCGCTTCTTCTATGTTTTGTATGCGAGCTTTTTATATTTGCTGAATCATTCCATTAGAAAGCGATAGCAAATTTTTTTTTTAACAAAACCTAACAAAGTGATTTTTGAAAGTATTACTGTGATATAACTATTATAGAATTCTGACAATAAAATTAATGAGTCGCCTGCAAATTAACATTTAGTTTTTTATTTCACTAGTCTACCAAAAAACACCATACTAAAGCATCTCAATAACGATGGGCTGAGAGAAACTCGTTTGCATTATATATTGATTGATTTTTTTATTGATATAATATAATAAAAATTATTTTAGGATGTCTAATTTCGGGTGAAATGAACATAAGTTTTCATAAAAGATAGAAACCGCCTGAACAGAGATGGAGTATTGTTCTGCAATACAGTTGGAGAAAATATTTAAAATTAAGAACAAGAAAAAAGTGATGTGCACTATTGTATATAATTATATCTTTCAGGAATATATATATATATATATTTGGCGCTCTGTAACCACTGAAGCGATTTTTGGCCGGGCTCCTTCTCCAACTTGTGATTTTGCGTCTTGAAGTTTTTGGAAAGTGGGCTTATTCCCTGCCGAGGGGCGACCTCAATTAAAAAATTTAACTTAATTATTAATATAAAATAATTTTTCAGTAGTTCATATTTTCATATTTAGCTGTTTAATTGTAAGAACTACGGGTCGAAAACGCATACGCGAGAAATGAAATGTATGGCTGAGATATGTTACAGAATTCATCACTTGAAACTGACTTTATAAACATTTGTCTCAAATTGTTATTAGCCATTATTTCCTTAACCGGTAGCTAAAGTAGCGTCGCTTTTCGATCGTATTCCTCGTCACGACCGTGCGGTCCGATTACTATGTCATTTAGACCTCAACGGATTTTCGCAGATACAAGGAGATCAGTAGTTCAAAGACTTCTTCTAATCCTTTGTACTGCGAAGCTAGAATCGTATTCTTGTTAGGGATAGACAGAAATAAAGGAGATTCTTCAAGGCCTGTTTTGTGTATGTCTCTTTTCATTTTTTGAGATCGCGTAAGCAAAAACAGTTTGTAAGTTCCTTCCCTATATTAATTTTTGGAGATGGACCGGGGACTGATCTATTCTAAAAACTCTTACGCCCGCTTGTAACGAGTGTTCTCCAAAAGTTAACGGCCGATTGACTTAAAACTTCTTCAGTTTACTTCAATGATACCTGGGATGGGCTTACAAACAAAATTTTCGAAAAGTGGACAAAGCATTGACCTATTCAAAAACGATTCGATTCGATTTACTTGCAATTTGGTACTTAGGTGTCCTTTTGCTTAAGTTAACAGGAAGACTACACCTCTCTTCAGAAAGTGCACCAGGGACTAACCTATTAAAAAAAATTTTAATTCTGGTTCGATCTACTAGAAATTCGGTGCATAGGTGATGCTAGATAACAACAGAAGAGCAGTCAGAATTGGGAAGGACCTCTCTGAGCCGTTCGATACCAAACGATGTTTCAGACAGGGTGACTCTTTGTTATGTGATTTCTTCAATTTGATGATGGAGAGAAAAATAAGAGCTGCAGAGCTGAATAGAGAAGGTACACTCTTCTATAAAAGTGTACAGCTACTGACGTATAGGCGTACGGCGCCGATAGTTCTGCTTTCCCAGATGATAAAAGAGCGAAGCGAGCAAGACAAGAAATCTCCTATCATCAAATAAACAGTAGTTGCATTCACGACTCGGCTCCCACGTCACTGCTGACAGTTATAATTATGAAGTCTTAGATAACTTCGCCTATCTTGGAACCAGTAATAGCACCAACTACAATGTCAGCCTTAAAATCCAACGCAGAATCATCCTAGCCAAAAGGTGCTACTTTGGACTGAGTAGGCGAAAAAAACTCAAACTCTACAAGTCGCTTATTTTTCCCGTCCTGCTCTATGGTACGTAGACGTCGATGATGACAACATCTGATGAGTCGGCGTTTGGAGCTTTCTAGAGAAAGCGGTGTCTACGCCAGAAAAGAAGAAGGGTAATACAATTCAAACTAATCATAATAAAATATTATATGGATGATACATAGTTAGCAAAATTTTANTTTTCGCAGATACAAGGAGATCAGTAGTTCAAAGACTTCTTCTAATCCTTTGTACTGCGAAGCTAGAATCGTATTCTTGTTAGGGATAGACAGAAATAAAGAAGATGTTTCAACGTCTGTTATATGTCTGTCCCTTTTCATTTCTCGAGATCGCGTAAGCAAAAACAGTTTTTAAGTTCCTTCCCTATATTAACACATGATCTTGACGTGTGAGTAATTAATCCAATTTATCTAGTACTTCTTCCTACTTTTTTCGTCATATACTTTGACAGGTACTTTAGCGTCCGGAATTATCTGGCTTAATCGCCTGACGAATAGTACATTTGGTGATCTTATAAACTATTTTCTTTCTTGCAATGCAAATGTGGATGGATGTGATGGGATGGGTGTTGCTTCACGGCAGTTAATTTACCACTTGTACCGCACTGAAGGTCGAGCCAAAAAAAGTTTCCGGAGATGGACCAGGGACTGATCTATTCTAAAAACTCTTACGTGAGTTTGTAACGGGTGTTCTCCAAAAGTTAACGGCCGATTGTCTTAAAACTTCTTCAGTTTGCCTTAATGATACCTGGGATGGGCTTACAAGCAAAATTTTCGGGAAGTGGACAAGGCATTGACCTATTCAAAAACGATTCGATTCGATTTACTTGCAATTCGGTACTTTGGTGCCCTTTTGCTTAAGTTAAGAGGAAGACTACACTTCTCTCCAGAAAGTGCAACAGGGACTAACCTACTCAAAACAAGTTTTATTTCTGGTGCGATCTACTGGAAATTCGGTGCATAGGTGATGCTAGACAACACCAGAAGAGCAGTCATAATTGGGAAGGACCTCTCTGAGCCCTTCGATACCAAACGAGGTTTCAGACAAGGTGACTCTTTGTTGTGTGATTTCTTCAACTTAATGATGGAGAGAAAAATAAGAGCTGCAGAGCTGAATAGAGAAGGTACAGTCTTCTATAAGAGTGTACAGCTACTGACGTATGGTACGGCGCCGATAGTTCTGCTTTCAACTAAATTGTCGTTACATTCACGACTCGGTTCCCACGTCACTGTTGTCAGTCATAATTACGAAGTCTTTGATAACTTCGCCTATCTTGGAACCAGTAATAGCACCAACTACAATGTCAGCCTTAAAATCCAACGCAGAATCATTCTCTCCAACAGGTGCTACTCTGGACTGAGTAGGCAACAGAAAAGTAAGGTCCTCTTTTGGCGAAAAAAACTCAAACTCTACAAGTCGCTTATTGTTCCCGTCCTGCTGTATGGTAGGTAGACGTCGATGATGACAACATCTGATGAGTCGGCGTTAGGAGCTTTCTAGAGATAGCGGTGTGTACGCCAGAAAAGAAGAAAGATAATACAATTCAAACTATTCTAATAATCACAATAAAATATTATATGGATGATACATAGTTAGCAAAATTTTAGTAATACTAGCAATTGCAATTTTGAAAACGAAACAGAAATATATCAAAATAAAATTTACTGAAAGAGCTCGGGATAATTATAATCTAAAAGAAGAGTTGTTATATGTAATAAAACCCTAATTATGAACAGAATAAATTACAATTTTGTTGATTCTCTTAATAAATTAAGTCAAATAAGAGGAAGTGAGTAAAGTGTAACCCAAAACCATATTCCTTGATTTTGCAAAACATAATAAACAGGTACAAAACAAAACAATATAAGTTCATAATATATCCTAGAAGCAAATATCTATCAATATATATTTGATTGTAAGTTTTTCGAATTATATAAAAATAATATAAAATTAGTTTGATTCTCCAATTGAAACCAACTTCCTTCTATTCATGAATAATTTATTATTTATTTTTAAACGTTGCATCACGTTGCAGGTGCGCACGCCACGAGAGAAGGTACTGGACGACTATGTCAAAGATAAGCTTACGTCAGTTAACA